ATACAACTGCCATGCCGTGTCTCCACCACAAAATACACAGTCATTGCACTTTACAGAATATCCTGTGAAGCGCCTTGAGATGTCTCGATGACGTGATGAGGTGCTATATGAAATGCAAGGATTATTATTATGATAATGATGACTGTCAGCTCAGGGAGACATGTCCCTGTTGCTGCCGTCTCCAAATCCTCAATGGATTAAACTCCAGCGTTTGATAGGCAAGAAGAGGATTTAGACAAAAGAGTTTAATTTTTTTTAAAATGGAATAAAAACACACACATCAAACCTGTTGTCTCCGGAACTGAAATGAGGGATGATGCGCCATTGTATTGGTTAACCTGCAGAGCTGATTCCACAGTCAATGTTGCTTGTAGTCTGTCTGTACCGTGTAGCTATAACCTCGATAAAACAAGCATTTCTGATAGATTATAGACAGGAGCCAATACACTGCAGTTGCTGGAAATTTGAAATAAAAACAGAAGTTGTTGGGAATACTGTAGCTCAGTGATTAGAGCACTTGTTTCACAAGCAAGAGACCGAGGTTCGATTCCTGGCAATAATCCCTGATAATAATCCCTCAAGAAAAAAACAATAATGAATTGGTTGCTTCGATCCACGACTCTTTGCGCAATTGGCTATCGCATTTCACCCACGAATATACAGTCAATTCACTTTAAGGTCTATTCTGTGAAGTGCTTTGAGACGTCTAGAAAACGTGAAAAGCACTACATCAAGTGCAAGGATTATTATTATTATTACTCAGCAGGTCAGGCAGCATCTATGGAGAGAGGAAAGTGAAAAAGTGGCAGCCAGTTTGTGCACAGCAGTGTCACACAAACAGCAATGGAGTCAGCGACCAATTTTATTTTGGGGGAATGTTGGCCAGGACACTGGGAGAGAGGAACTCCCCTCCTCTCCGTAGATGCTCTCCATAGATCCCGCCTGACCTGTTTAATGTTTACAATGATTTCAGATTATACACAGGGTTTGTGCCACTGAGAAAAAGGTCGCGAGACATAGCGAGAGAAATCAGGAAAGAAAGAGAAGGAGAGTCCGAGGGAGAGTGACAGAGATGTTTTGTTTTGGTCAGCCGGGTGTCTGACACACCTAGAAACCCATCAGCGTTGCTTAAGAATCTCCAAACCAAACTGAGAATTCCATGCATCCCACCTACACATTGGAAATCCCAGAGACATTTACTGGAATGGAACGTGTAGAAATAGAGAGAGAGAAGGAGCTACGTGTTACCTGACTCACCGTTCGCTGCCCATCGCAATGCGAATGGTTTCTATTTCAGTCTTCAGCAAGTGTGGAGCCGTCTCTGGGACTGGCCGGGGGAGCGGCTCTTGACTGCCCCCTGATGTTACAACAATGTTGCTCCGAGGTTTGTGATCACAGAGAGGTTTGGATGAAGAGGGAGTTCGTCTGTCTCATTGATCTCCTCTTCTCTGAACACCCACACCCCTGTCCTCACTCCCCATTGAATACACATTTTGCCCACAAAATGTACAGTCAATTCACTTTGCAGTATATCCTGTGAAGCACTTTGAGACATCCCGAAGACGTGATAAGGTGCTATATCAAATGCAAAGATCATTATTATATTATTACACAAGAGAGCCAGGAACAGAGGAGTTTGTGTGAATGGGTCGGGGGGCAGGTCACGGAGAATATAATATTGGTATGGAGGAGTTGTTTTCACGCTGTAACATTCTATAATAGTCCCATTGCAGCCAGGGTCCTGGCCTCAACCATCCTTCTTGGTAACCAAGGTCCCATCTGCCTGATCAGGTGGACGTTAAAGATCCCATTGGCACAACTCAAAAAGAGAATGAGCCTGGCAGATGATTTCCTCTAACTCTGCGGAAACACTACTTCAGTGAGCTAGTGGTAAATGTATGGAACAGGCTCACTGGAGAAACAGACGGTAGAAGCAGAAAGTGTTGAATTAAATAGATTTCTGGTCGGGAATAATATCTTGGGATACAGTATATATTTTGTGACACGACATGTGCATACGACTGCCAGGGTGCTGGAAGGTGAACTCGATGGACCTTCTTTCGCCTAGGAACAACAACAACTTGCATCTATATAGCGCCTTTCATGCGGGATAGCGTCCCTGAGCTCCAGGAATTAATAATTCCTTTGTTCTCAGGCTGTGCCCTGTTCCACAGTGACTACAGGGTGAGAGCTTCCTCATGTAAACCTTTGTGCTCAGTGACCACCAGGAGTTTTCCACCAGAGCTGATGCCAGTGCTCCCAAGAGGAGAACAGGGAAGCAATAATAGATAATTATTGGAGAGGACAAGTTTGCAGGGTTATGGGGAGAGCGCGGGGGAATGGGATTCATTTGGATAGCTCTTTTCAAAGAGCCGGCACAGACATGATGGGCCGAATGGCCTCCTTACGTGCTGTATAATTCTATGATTCTATGATTCAGAACTCTGAATTCTTGCATTTGCGCCTTATATCTTCTCAAAGCGCTTCACTGAATCTACTCTAAAATGAATTGACAGTATATTTTGGGGGCGAAACGTGGCAACCAATTGCGCACAGCAGTGTCCCACAAACAGTCATGGATTGAGTAGTATGTATTTATTTATTTATTTATTTGGAAGGGATTACCCCTGGAAAAGCGACTAACAACTGGGTTCCTCTTTACTGCTCGGTAAACAACGGCATGTGGAGTAAGGAAACTTGCCTAACCTTTCGCCCTGGCCGGGAATCGAACCCAGGTCCTCTCGCTTGCGAGACGAGTGCTCTAAAGAGTGGGTGGACGGGAGAAGGGGAACAGGAAGGAAAGACCTAGGGTGCGGGAAGTCAGAGGGGGAATGAAGGGCAGGGGGACTCCCCCACCCCACACACTGGCGCAGTCTGACCGCTTCTCAATTATCTTCCTCTTGACGGAATGGAGGGTTCATGGCATGTGTTGCGTGTTTGTACAGAGAGACATTTCCTCTTGGCTCTCTCCCCCTCCAGTGTGCTTTTGTCAATGGAATGTATGGTTTTCCATGTCTGAAAATGTAAGTGTTAACATGGAAACAAGGAGAAAATAGCAACGGTCTGGCTCTCTGTCAGCAACGAGGGAGCAGCCCTCCGCACACGCACTCCCTGGATTTAAAGCTGAGCCCAGGTCCCGAATAATGAGAATAATCACAACAATCATCATCGCATTTGATGTTTCAAGTCTCAACCAGCTTCACTGTGATTTCTTTTACTGTAAAGTGTAGTGACTGTGTGTTTTGTGGGAGAATGCAGCAGCCAATTTGCACACAGCATTGTCCCATCACAACAACAACAAATGACATTTACACAGCATCTTTCGCATCGGGAAGGACGTCCCAAGTTGCTGCACAGTCAAGGACTCAAGCAGAGGGTTGGGATCATGTGGGATGGAGGGCAGGGAAGATAGGGGTAGGAGGATGGCTGGAGGATCGTGAGGGTCTACAAACAGCCGTGAAGTGAATGATTGATTTTACCCGGGGAATTGTCAGCCAGGACACAGAGAGAAACTCACAGGCTGGGACCTCAGTTTAACGTCCCATCCGAAGGTAGGCACCTCCAACAATGCAGGGCTCCTCCATCCCCCTCACCCCAACTACCAGGTCACTGTATTGGAGGGTCAGCCTGGACTGTGAGCTCCAAATCCCAAAGAGGAGGCTTGAACACACAAACTGCCTTTCCTGTTAAATAATAATAATAATAATAATAATCCTTGCATTTGATATAACGCTTTTCACGGCGGGAGGACGTCCCAAAGCGCTTCACAGAACACACTGTAAAGTGAATTGACTGCATATTTGTGGGCGAACGCGGCTGCCAATTGCGCACAGCAATGTCCCACAAACAGTCATGGATTGAAAATGACCAATTTATTATTGTTTTGTTTTGGAGGGATTATTATTAGGCTCTGTGTGGAGTAAGGAAACTTGCCCAAGGTTTCGCCCTCTACCTGGAATTGAACTCAGGTCTCTCGCTTGCAAAGCAAGTGCTCTAACCACTGAGCTACAGGACTCTTCTAATCTTCTAATATATAATAATAATCCTTGCATTTTATATAGTGCCTTACCATGTCTTTGAGAGTCTCCAAGAGCTTCATAGAATATATTGTAAAGTGTAGTGGCTTTATGTTTTTCAGGCGAAACAACAGCAGTGTCCCATAAATAGTCATGGATCAAGTGACCACATTATTATTAGTTTTTTTGAAGGGATTATTATTCCCGGAAAGTGATCCGCCAATTAGCTAATTGCTCAGCTGCAGATGTTTCGAGGCAGATGTGCGATCAACATCTGTTCATTGTCTGGTTTACTGGTGACATCATCAAACAGGTCCTAGAGATGACTGAGCCGGCGGGAGGGAGATGGTGGGGGCCTGAGTCCGAGCTGACCAGGGGTGGTGGAGGGGGTGGGGGCAAACAGGAGAAATTAACAGGAGGGGGCAGGGGACGGGGGGCTTAATCTCAGCACCAGAGCATTCCTCTCAACACCTGACTGATTGTTGAACAAAAACAAAAATAGTTTGGTCGCTCGACTGCTTGTGGGATGCTGTTGTGCGCAATTGGATGCCGTGTTTTGCACGCAAATATACAGTCAATTCACTTTACAGTAAATTCTGTGAAGCTCTTTGAGACAGCTAGAAGTTGTGATAAGACGCTGTATCAAATGCAAGGATTATTAATATTATTGGGAATCCCCTTGGGCTGGTTTTGGTTGCAGGCTGGCGCTGACTGGTTAGAAGCTCAACAATAATAATAATAAGAAGAAGAATTCTTGCATTTGATATAGAACCTTACCATGTCGTTGAGATGTCTCAAGGATATACTGTGAAGTGCAGTGACTGCATTTTGTGGGCAAAAAGCGGCATCAATTTTGCACACAGCTTGAGACATAATAAGGCGCTATAACAAATGCAAGTTATTCTTATTATATCATGATCCCAGGACAGGACAGCTTTAATAAGCAGCCCGAAACCTCAGTCACTATGACGTAATGCTGTGCTGGTGTGAGAGTTGTCTGTGTTTTGGATAGAGTTTTTTTTTCCTGTGGTAGGAAAATATCTGGGGTTCTGTAACATGAACTGAGTGCGACTGAGGCTAGACTGAAGGCAACCACTTGTTGTAACGTGAAATCAGTCGAGAGAGGCTGACAGTGCGAGTAGGATGGTGGGCTATAGCGTCCTGGCTCTGCTTATTCTCCACATGCTCCGTGTTTCAGAGCTACTGGCAGGTAAGAGACAAGTGAGAAATCGCACAATTTCTTTCACAGGACAGAGCGAATGCTGACACACTCACACACAGACACAAAGTTCTGCTCCACACACTAACACTAACGCTCAATGCTTCCAACACGCTGGCTTTTGACACAAAAGTCACCTCGGATGGTGAGTCTCTGTTTGGGGCATTTCTACACCTTTGGCACAAACACAATAGCATCGAAAACTTACCCATTACCCCGTTCAGGTATAGGATTAACTTTAATATTATTAATAATAATGATAATCCTTGCACATTGTTGAGACGCCTCAAAGCGCTTCACAGGATATACTGTAAAGTGGAGTGACTGTGTATTTTGTGGGCGAAACTTTCATTATATTCCAGCTGGTGGATGTTTTACTACAGGTAAAGTGCGAAGGTTGTGTCGGAATTAAACCTCAGCATTTATTGGTCTTAATACTGAGGGTATTGTCTGTGCACTGAACACCACCCAATACTGTACTGTGCCATCAGTCAGTAAGTGCTCTTTTTCGTAACCTGTCTCAGTGCAGCAATACATCAACTAAATCGCTCCATCACTGCTGTTTGCAGGACATCGCAATTGGCTGCTACGTTTCAGCAATCCACTTTACCATATATTCTGTGAAGGATTGTGAGATGTCTCAACGATATGATAAGGTGTTATATCAAACGCAAGGATTATTATTATTATTAAGAGTAAATTCACTAGTGCGGGTGAGTAACCATTTGTCTGCTGCCTGGCTTGTATCAGCTATGCTGGCAGTTACTGTCAGTGAATCTTTAAGAAATCAGCGATTTGAGCACCGCATTGTGTGGCAATTTTCATTTCCAATATTTGTTGGATTTTAATGAGAACGTCCGCAGTTAATCAGAATAATGATAATAATCTCAAAGCGTTTCACAGGTGTTACTGTAAAGTGGAGTGATTGGGTGTTTAAGGCCATGGCTGGTTGGCAGAACAATACATTTCTTTGAAATCAAAGTACTTTTCTTTTGTCTGATTTATTCTCTCTAATCCTGCATATTTTTCCTTTATTCTTTCAGCCTCTCTCACTCCTCTCTGTCTCCCCTCAGTGATCTTGAGCTGCTATGTGCTGGGTTGAGTTGAAATCTCTGGCTCTGTTCTGCCTGGGGACTATTATGGATCAGTTGTTGCTAATTACAAGCATTCCCCTTTTCCCGGATGATTTCTCCAGGCTGTAATAGATTGGCGTGCCCCAACTAAACACCAATTATAAATGACTAATTAAGGGTTGAGGCTGTCAGAGGCAGACTGTGTGTGTCCCTGTGCTGTGAGCGAGGGTGGGACACTTTGAAGTGTGATTTCTGTCAAATTAACACTCGTTTACAGATTTCCCAACATTTTGTCAGATATCAATCTGCTGTAATTTATACGGCTCTGGGGTTTGATTAATTCCCTCCCAGAACTCCATCAGATACTACGAGCAATCACTGCCATCTACATTATTTATAAACCTATTGTGCGGTGGTGTGAGAGCACATAAGTACATAAGAAATGCTAGACGAAAAAGACCAAGGTCCATCTAGTTTACCTTCCTGGTGGTCGCATGCACATATGTCCCAATCCCTATGTACCACATCCCCTAGTGTCAAGAATCAACGCTTTCTGCTTCAACCGTCTCCTTAGGGAGCCTGGTCCACAGGTTCACTATTCGCTCACTGAAATAGTGTTTGGTAGATTTGTTCTTTACCCCCTTCAATTTGAATTTCCCCCCTTCAATTGAAGGCCATGTCCTCCTGTTTTATTATTCAAATCAAATTGAAACAGCCTGTCATGATCTATATTGATTTGCCCCTTTAGAATGTTAAAGATAGCAAACATGTCACCTCTCAATCTTCTCTTTTCTGGTGTGAACATGTCCAATTTACCGAGTCGCTCCTCATAATCCATTCCCTTCCATTTTCTCAATCATTTTGGTTGCCCTCCTCTGCTCCTTCTCGATTTCTCCAATATCCTTTTTGTACTGCAGTGACCAGAACTGTACACAGTCTCTAAGTATGGTCTCACCAATGATTTATACGTTGGTAGGATTACCCCACTATTTTGGTTTGCTATTGATCTTTTGATACATCCCAACATCTGGTTTGCTTTACTCACTGACACAAAGCATTGTTGGGAGAAGCTTCAATTTATTGTCAATCAGGACTCCCAGATCCTTTTCATTTTTCATACATGTTATTTTCCTTCCGTTCAAATAATAGTCCCTTCCAGGGCGAAACTTGGCGGCCGATTGCGCACAGCAGTGTCCCACAAACAGTCGTGGATTGACTAAATGACCAATATTTTTGGAGGTATTATTAACCCCAAAAAAGAAATTAACAACTTGGGTTCCTACTTACTGCCAGGTAAACAGAGGCATGTGGAGTGAGGAAACTTGCCTAAGGTTTCACCCTGCCCAGTAATTCAACCCGGGTCCTCTCGCTTGCAAGGCGAGTGCTCTAATCACTGATGAGGCTACAGGACTCCATTTTGTGAAGCGCTTTGATACATCTCAACAAATAAGGTGCTATAACAAATGAAATGATTATATTATTGTAGTATCCTTTAGGAGCTGATGAGAAATTTGAAAAAATATTCCAAGTTTACTAAATATTAACGGACTTCAGTGAAAATATTCCAGCAAATGTTCAACTGACTATAAATTAGTGTTAGAATCATAGAATAATAATAATAATCCTTGAGTTTGATATAGATACTTATCACGTCTTCGAGACGTCTCAAAGCACTTCATAGAATATTACAGCAAAGAAGGAGGCCGTTTGGCCCATTGTACCTGTGCCAGCTCTTTTTTTTAAGAGGAGTACATGTCAGTGTGAAGCAGACATGTTAAACACTAACATTTGTCCAGCGATTTGGGACGTCCTCCTGACATGGAAGATGTTATCCAAAGTAATTTGTTGTTGTTGATGTAATTTTGTGTTGCTGTACAGCCATCACCCCACTGCCACCCCCGGATTTTGTGGATGGGATCAATCTAGCTGGTAATAATCCCTCCAAAAAATAAGAATAATTTGGTCACTGTTGCAGATTGTTTGTGGGACACTGCTGTGCGCAAAGGACTGCCGCGTTTCGCCCACAAAATACATTAGATCACATTAGAATATACAGCACAGAAACAGGCCATTCAGCCCAACTGGTCTATGCCGGTGTTTATGCTCCACATGAGCCTCCTTCTGCCCTCCGTCAACTAAGCCTTCAAGCCTAACCTTTTATTCCTTTCTCCCTCTCGCACCTCTCTAGTTTCCCATCTGTGCTATTTGCCCCAACAACTCCTTGTGGTGGCATGTTCCACATTCAAAGTGAAATACAAGTCAATTCACTTTACTATATATTTTGTGAAACCCTTTGAGACATCGCGAAGATGTGATGAGGTGTTATAGAAAATGCAAGGATCACTATTATTATTATATATTCTCCGGAGACTCACAGTGAGCGAGCGAGTTCTTCGTTGTTGGGAGAGTTTGATATCCGCTGCCACATACCGGGCAAACTCACTCCCTGATCGTCCAACACAACGCTGTTTATAAAACTGTTTATAAAAAAATAGGCATATTGTCAGGCTGTAGCCTGTCTGAACTCTCACAGGAGGGACCCACGCTCCAGTCTGACTCATGTTTTCATTCCCAGTTTGTTTTGGAAACTGGAAACATTGACTTTTGACGGTAATCATCATCTTTCCCTGAAGGTTACCCTGACCCAGGATTGTCCTTTCACTTTGCTACAGCCTGCACGCAGCCCAGCCTGCACGCAGCGCAGCTTGTACACAGCCCAGCCTGCACACAGCGCAGCTTGTACACAGCCCAGCCTGCACGCAGCCCAGCCTGCACACAGCGCAGCTTGTACACAGCCCAGCCTGCACACAGCGCAGCTTGTACACAGCCCAGCCTGCACACAGCGCAGCTTGTACACAGCCCAGCCTGCACACAGCGCAGCTTGTACACAGCCCGGCCTGCACGCAGCCCAGCCTGCACGCAGCGCAGCTTGTACACAGCCCGGCCTGCACACAGCGCAGCTTGTACACAGCGCAGCCTGCACACAGCGCAGCTTGTACACAGCCCAGCCTGCACACAGCGCAGCTTGTACACAGCGCAGCCTGCACACAGCGCAGCTTGTACACAGCCCAGCCTGCACGCAGCCCAGCCTGCACATAGCCCAGCCTGCACGCAGCGCAGCTTGTACACAGCCCAGCCTGTATAGACAGACATGATGATAAACCAGTGATGAAGGTACCAGTTTGGGGCTTCGTGAATAACTCCTGTTAACTCATTCCGTTCAGCGATTTCACTACAACCTCACAGGTCTGTATTTAGGATTATTTAGGATTGAGAGTTTAGGATTTGTTTGTTCAGCCGGAGGCTCCCCCCAACCCCACCCCTAACTGCCTACTTGTTACTAACAATCACCCTGACAGAAGTCTGCATTTTGGGTGGCGAGCTCAGCAGGTGTCGTTCACTTGTGTCAAAGAGTCAATCTACGACTGTTTGTGGGACACTGCTGTGCACAATTGGCTGATGCGTTTCAGCTACAAAATACACAGTTACTACACTTTACAATATAATTTGTGAAGCGCTTTCAATGACATGATGAGGTGCCATATCAAAAGGATTATTATTATTACTACACTGTTTGTCACATTGCCCGCCTCCGGCTGTGCCTCACAACAAAAGCAGTCGAAAAACTCGTCCAGACCTTCGTCACTTCCCGGCTGGACTGCTCCACTGCTCCTCGCTGGTCTCCAGCTCCACCAGACACAAACTACAATTAATTCAAAACTCCGTCCCCCCATCACACCAGCCCATGCCAGGCTCCACTGGGCTCCCAATCACCGAACGGATCGATTTCAAGATCCTCTCACTTGTTCTCAAACCCCTTCGTGCCCTCGCACCTCCCTACCTCTCCGATCTGCCTACCCACCACTCCACCACCCGCTTCCTCTGCTCGGGTGGCTCCAGTTTTCTGTTTCTCCCTCGCCCCCTTTGCTTCACCATCGGTGGCTGTGCCTTCCGCCTCTACCCCCCCGAAACTCTGGAACTTTATCCCTCAATCCCTCTGCCTTGCCCCCTTTTTGATCGCCCTTACGGTCACCTCTCCCCCTCCCTCTCCCCCTGGCTCGGGGTCAGACTCTGCCACTGTCAAGTGCTCCGGGACGCTACCCCGTATGAAGAACGCTAAATAAATGCAAGTTATTGTTGTTGTTCCCGTTGTGTGATCACAGCGTACACGGTTATCAATGAGAACTGTCCAGGTGCGGAGTGGAACATCATGTGTCGTGGCTGCTGTGAGACGGAGAGGATAGAGTGTGGCTGTGCGGGCAGTGACCAGCGGGTGGGCTACTCGGTGCCCTGCTGCCGCAACCAGCACGGCGAATGTGACTCCTGCCTCATCCACCCAGGTAGGAACCGGAACCCCCACCCCGACCCCACCCTGAACGCAACCCCTACCCTAACCCCGACCAGCCCCACCCTAACCCCCACCCGCTTGTACATATCATGTCCCAAACTATTTATTGATAGGAACATAAGATGGGTTGGTCTCACTGTAGACACACACATACACAGGTGCTCTGGGATTAATCTCAGTGTGACACACACACGTTTGCTCTCGGAGTGACGTCAGTGTGACACACACGTGCAGGAATGGCCTTGATGTACACACTCACATACACGCACACACATGCACACATACACAAATGCGTTCTAGGATTGACCCCAGTGTGACAACACGTGCACACAACAAATGGTAGTCACTGAAGCCCTGATGGATAGTAATTCACTGCTGTGAATGAGATAAACCTTCAGATTGGTTATGAGTCGCTGCCTGTATGTTTCTCTCTTTCTAATCCAGGCTGTGTGATATTTGATAACTGTAAGGCCTGTCACAATGGCTCCTGGGGAACCCTGGATGACTTCTATGTGAAAGGCCTTTACTGCTCCGAGTGTCAGCCTGGCTGGTCGGGGGGAGACTGTATGAGTAAGTTACTATCACAGTCACGGACTCAGCTCAGACCCTCTCCCTAACAACGTCCTACAATAAGAGCATAAGAATTGCTGAATGAAACAAGACCAAGGTCCATCCATTTCACCTTCCACCATTGTGGAGTCCTGCAGCTCAGTGGTTAGAGAACTCGTCTCGCAAACGAGAGGACCTGGGTTCGATTCCTGGCAGGACGAAATGTTGGGCAAGTTTCCTTACTCCGCACGCCTCTGTTTACCCAGCAGTAAGTAGGAACATGGGTGTTAGTCGATTGGCGGATCGCTTTTCCGAGGGTAATAAGCCCTTCAAAAAAAAAATAATAAATAGGTCACTTAACCCATGACTCTAAGCTGTGCGCAGTTGGCTGCTGGGTTTCACCCACAAAATATACAGTCAATTCACTTTACAGCATATTCTGTGAAGTGCTTTGAACAATCTTGAAGGTGTGATAAGACGCTGTATCAAATGCAAGGATTACTATTTTAAGAATTGCAAGATGAAAGAAGACTCAGGTCCATTCGGTTCGTCTTCCACTATTCTGGCATTTGCATGCACATGTTGGGATATACTATATGCTGTATCCCAAGATATTATTTCCTAAAAGAAACCCCCTCAAAATGCTTTTTGCTTTTGCAAGAATTGACATTCTCTGCTTCCATCATCACCCTCGGTAGCCTGGGCCGTGCTCATGTCATGCCAGCCCATCTCAGAGTGAATGACAGGTCCAAGTGGTAACTTGTTCTTCTCTCCCACGTTCAACATTTAACGTCCTCCTCAATCTTCCTGCCATCTCACTGTGTGGAATGAATTCACTCTCTCATACAGGCAGGACATGTAGAATCATAGAGTCTTACAACAACAACACAACAAAATTACATTTGTACAGCGCCTTACAATGCCCTGTGGCAGTGAGTAAAGCAAACCAGATGTTGGGATGTATCAAAAGATCAATAAAAAGCCAAAATAGTGGGGCAATCCTGCCTCTGTATAAATCATTGGTGAGACCATACTTACTCGCCACAGTACAAAAAGGATATTGGAGAAATCTAGAAGAAACAGAGGAGAGCAACCAAAATGATTAAGGGAATGGAGGGACTGAACTATAAGGAGCGACTAAGTCAATTGGGCATGTTCACACAGGAAAAGAGAGTATTAAGAGGCGTGATTGCTGTCTTTAAGATTCTAAAGGGGCAAAACAATATAGATCATGACAGACTGTTTCAACTTGTCCCGAATAGTAAAATCAGGACACGATCTGCAATTGAAGGGGCGTAAATTCAGAATGAATCTTCACAAACACTATTTCAGTGACGGCATATCGAACCTGTGGAACAGGCTCCCTAGGGAGCAGATTGAAGGAGGAAGTATTGATTCTTTCAAACACAGATTAGATAGTTTTCTTTTAGGAAATAACATTATGGGATATAGTACATAGGGAGTTTGGGACACATTGCCTACGACTCCCAGGAAACTGGAAGATGAACTAGATGGACCTTGGTCTTTTTCATCTATTTCTTATGTTCTTAGGTTCTTTCATGTTGGGAGGACTTCCCAAGGTGCTGGACAATCAGTGTTTCAGACTCAAGCTGTGACTCGGGATCGGGAGGGTAAAGGGCAGTGAGAGGAAGGAGGATGATCAAAGGCACAGTCCAAGAGGAGGATCTTGAGATGTGTCTTGAAGGAGGCAAGGGAGGAGGCGAGGCGGAAGGACTACAGGATGGAGCTCCAGAGGGTGGGGGCAGAATGGCAGAAGGCCCACCCGCCAATGGGGACATGAAGCAGGCCGGAGCTCGCTGAGCAGAGAGAGTGGGCAGGTTGGTAAGAGATGTCGTAGATGTAGCGGGAAGCAAGACTATGGAGGGCTTTGATGGCCAGGACCAGGATCTTGAACTGTATCCTCTGTGTGATGGGAAGCCAGTGGAGTCGGGTGAGGATGGTGGTGATAAGGTCATGGAGGTGCTGCAGAGTTCTGGATGATCTTGTTGACGTTTAATTGAAGAAAGTTAGCTCTCATCCAGGACTTGATGTCTGACAGACATTCTGTCAGGACAGTAGTGGGTCCTGGAGTCGAGGGTGGAGGCGGAGAGGTAGAGTTGGGTGTCATCCACATACATGTGGAAGTTGACCCCGTGTCTCCGGATGATGTTAGCAAGAGGGAGCATATTAGATATTGAACAGGAGGGGACGAAGGACAGAGCCCTGAGGAACGCTGCACAAGACGGTGCGGGGCGAGAGGAGAAACCATTTTTGGAGATGAAGTAGAGGCAGTGTGAGAGGTACAGCACGAACGGAGGCTATTGGGCCCATTGGGCCTCTTTGAAAGAACTACCAACTAGTTCCACTTCCCTGCTCTTACCCCATAACCCTGCAAACGTTTCCGTTTTAATTACCTATCCAGTTCCCTTTTGAAAGCTACTATCAAATCTACTTCCGCTACCCTTTTAGGCAGTGCATTCCAGACTGTAACAACACTCTGCATAAAAAAAATTCTACTTGTCTCCCCTCCAAATGCTCCGCGACACTACCCCAGATGAAAGGTGCTATATAAATGCAAGTTGTTGTTGGTAGTGGTTCTTTTGCCAATTATCTTAAATCTATGTCCTCTGGTTACCAACCCACCTGCCAGAGGAAACAATTTCTCACTATTTACTCTATCAAAAACCCTCATAATTTTCAACACCCTTATTAAATCTCCCCTCATCCTTCTCTGCTATAAGGAGCTGAGCGTTGGTGTGTTTTATGACTAGAATTGTTGTGTGTGTTTAGGATGTGGAGCTATGGTGAACGCTTCGCGAGGAGATATCATCCTGGAAAGCTATCCAAGCAACTCTCATTGTGAATGGTCTCTGTCCGTCAACCCCAATTTCTCTGTGGAGTTAAGGTAGGACTTGATCCATTGCTCAGTGATTACTGTCTCTCTCTGGAGCTGCTTATAAGAACATAAGTTAATAATTTGCTGGGCGAAAGAAGACCAAGTTCCATCTAGTTCACCTCCACCATCCTGGCAGTCGATTGACATTTTGTGTCTCAAACTATGTGCTTTTCTCTGTCGTTCCTGCTTCAGTGGAGCCAACACATGCTTCAGATAATAATAATAATCCTTGCATTTGATATAGCACCTTACCACGTCTTTGAGACGTCTCAAAGCGCTTCACAGAAGATACTGTAAAGTGAATTAACTGTATATTTTTTGGGCGAAACGGGGTAACCAATTGCAGTGTTCCGCAAACAGTCATGAATTGATAGGCCAAATTATTAGTTTTTTTGGAAGGGATTAATACCCCAGAAAAGCGATTCGCCAATCGACTAACAACCAGGTTCCTACTTACTGCTACGTAAACAGAGTGCGTGAGGAGTAAGGAAACTTGCTCAACATTTCACCCTGCGGGGAATTGAGACCAGGTCCTCTCACTTGCGAGGCGAGTGCTCTAACCCTAAACTACAGGACTCCACAGATGAACAGTTAACCCTTGGTCCTGGCTGCATGTTCAGGTGGATGGTAAAAATCCCACAGCACTGTTCAAAAAGAGAAGGAAGTTTCTCTCTCCTGATGTCCTGGTCAATCATCCCTGGATACAATTAGTCACTCACTTCATAGCTGTTTGTGGGGACACTGCTGTGTGTAAATTGGCTGCTGTGTTCCACTACAAAAACACAGTCACTCCACTTACTCCACTAACACCTCTAGGCTCAACTATGGAAACTCCCTCCTTGTTGGCCTTCCCAACTCTTCCCTCCACAATCTGCAGATCATCCAGAACTCTGCAGCTCGTCTCCTCTCCCGCACCAGGCTCCGTGACCCCATCACCAACCCCCCCACCACCCTCGCCCGACTCCACTGACTCCCCATGCCTCAGAGAATAGAATTCAAAATCCTTGTCCTCACTTTCATGGCCTTGCCCCCTCCTGCCTCTCTGACCTGCTGACCCCCTATTAACCTGTCCGCTCCTCCACTCAGCGGGCTTCGACCCGCTCCATGTGTCCCCCCGACCCGCCCTACCAGCAGCGGCCGGGCTTTCAGCCTCTCTGCCCCCACACTTTGGAACTCCATCCCACATCCCTTCACTGCGCTCCCTCCCTTGCCTCCTTCAAGGCACGACTCAAACAAGACCCTCCTTTTCGATTGTGCCTTCACAACTCTCCCACCCCCTCTGCCCCTCCCTCATCCCAATCCTGCCCCCCCCCCCCCCCACCCCACCCCTCACGCTCGGGTCCTGATCCCTGACTGTTCAGTGCCTTGGGATGTCCGCCTAACGTGAAAGGCGCTTTACAGATGTAATTTTGTTGTTGTTGTTACTTTACAATCCTATGAGACGTTCTCCTGACATGAAAGTTGCAATATGTAAAGATAATTTTACAAGGATTTGGAGGCTGATCGAGCTCTGAAGTCAATCCAGCGCCTGATTACATGTTCATAGAATCATAGAACCATCATAGAATTATACAGCACAGAACTCCATTCGGCCCATCGTGTCTGTGCGGCTCTTTGAAAAGAGCTTCCAAATCAACCCCACTCCCCCGCTCTCTCCCCATAGCCCTGATCAACCCCACCCCCACCGCTCTCTCCCCATAGCCCCGATCAACCCCGCTCCCCCGCTCTCTCCCCATAGCCCTGATCAACCCCACCCCACCGCTCTCTCCCATAGCCCCGATCAACCCCGCTCCCCCGCTCTCTCCCCATAGCCCTGATCAACCCCACCCCCACCGCTCTCTCCCCATAGCCCCGATCAACCCCACTCCCCCGCTCTCTCCCCATAGCCCCGATCAACCCCACTCCCACCGCTCTCTCCCATAGCCCCGATCAACCCCGCTCCCCCGCTCTCTCCCCATAGCCCTGATCAACCCCACTCCCCCGCTCTCTCCCCATAGCCCTGATCAACCCCACCCCCACCGCTCTCTCCCCATAGCCCCGATCAACCCCGTCCCCCGCTCTCTCCCCATAGCCCTGATCAACCCCACCCCCACCGCTCTCTCCCCATAGCCCCGATCAACCCCACTCCCCCGCTCTCTCCCCATAGCCCCGATCAACCCCACTCCCCCGCTCTCTCCCCATAGCCCGATCAACCCCACTCCCCCGCTCTCTCCCCATAGCCCCGATCAACCCCACTCCCCCCGCTCTCTCCCCATAGCCCTGATCAACCCCACTCCCCCCATTCTCTCCCCATAGCCCTGATCAACCCACTCCCCCGCTCTCTCCCCATAGCCCTGATCAACCCCACTCCCCCGCTCTCTCCCCATAGCCCTGATCAACCCCACTCCCCCGCTCTCTCCCCATAGCCCTGATCAACCCCACTCCCCCGCTCTCTCCCCATAGCCCTGATCAACCCCACTCCCCCGCTCTCTCCCCATAGCCCTGCAAACTTGTCCTCCCCAAATAATTATCTGCTCCTCTCTGAAAAGTTGTAATCCGATCGGCTTCCACCAGCCTTTCAGACAATGCATTCCAGATCCCAACAACTCGTGGTGTGAAAAAATTTCTCCTCACCTCTCCTCTGTTTCATTTAACAACTATTTTAAATTGGTGTCCTCGGGTTACCGACCCACCTCCCTGTGGGATGTTATGTTACAGGCTCTGTCTGTCTCTCAGTGCGGTGATTGTGTATGTTAATCTTGTTGTTGTTGTTGTTGTTAAACACTCTGTCTCTCAGTGTGACTGTGTATGACTGTGTTACGCCCTATGTCTCTCAGTGTGACTGTGTGTGACTGTGTGTGATACAGGCTCTGCCTCTCAGTGTGTGACTGTGGGTTCCAGGTTTGCCATGCTAAGTGTGGAGTTTGACTACCTGTGCCAGTATGACTACATTGAGGTGCGTGATGGTGATAACGTTGACTCGAAGATTCTGGGGAGATTCTGTGGTAATGAACGTCCTCCCATCATCCGAAGCTCCGGGAGCTCCTTACACCTTCTCTTCGTGTCTGATGGCTATAAAAGCTTTGATGGATTTTTTGCGACATTCGAGCAGGTGGATGGTATGTGGCATCTAGTGATTTCAGAGAAAACCTTTCACGAATATATACTTATATACTTATACCATCAAAACCCCTCGATTTGAGCCCAGCCTGTCAGTCGCTTTAAGATCCAATATACCAGATGGTCCAACTAGTGGCCCGCGGGCCGCATCTGGCCCCCGTGGGGATGATTTCATCCGGACCAAGAACCATTTCCAACTTCATTGTCTGATGAGCAAATCCAAGCGACATGGAAGTCCTGAGCCAATCAGGAGCCAGTCACGAGGGCCTCAGGCTCTGCCAGCAATGGGACTGGTCAATCAGGATAAAATATTGCTTTTGCGGCCTGTGGATGTGTCTCAAATCCGGCATCCGGCCCTCAGCAGCCGAAAGGTTGACCTCTCCTCACCTGTTATACCAGGTATAAATCAGGTGACCTCTGCAATCCATCCAACGATGGGAGACATCCTGTGTTCTGAGGTGAGTCTGGATGTGTGAGCTGCACTTCCAAGTCTGTCCTCTGGGGGAGAGCAGTGTGACGTGAGGCGAGAGCGAAACGGAGCGAGCCAGAGCTGTAGTGATACACCAGCGCCTCCCAAAGTTTGTCACTGGTACTACAGCCTGTGTGCTTCTCATTGACAGCTTGGTTGGGATACTCTTTAGCACGGTGATGGGTTTCCGCGTGTGTCAGACACCCACTGACCCCCCCCCCAAAAATGGTTGTACTATCCCTCTCGCACACATCCCGAGATCATACCCTTTCACTGCTGTTGATCCCATCTTTCCACAACAACACATTGCATTTGTACAGCACCTTTCTTGTCGGGAGGACGTCCCAAACTGCCATTCGAGTTCCAGCTTCACAAAACGGGAGAGACTGTGTGTGTGAGATGTGAAGCCAGTGTCGGTCTCTCTCTCTCTCTCTCTCTCTCCCCCTCAGCCTGTGCCTCATCGCCTTGCCTGCACGATGGTGCGTGTGTGCGGGATGGTGCGGGGAGGGGGCGATGTGCATGCCTGGCCGGCTACACCGGCAGCCGCTGTGAACACGGTAAGTGGCCGATTTGGTGAATTACCTGTTCAGGTGCGCATGCGGCTTGCAAACACACAGTCACTACACTCGGCGGCCATTCTCTCTGAAATGCTTTAAGACGTGTGTGTTTTTTTTAGGTCTTGACAAACGTGAATATTATTTATTATGATTATTATTAGCTGTGACCGAGACATGATATGAATTTTATTTTAGTATCTGTAAGATTAAACTGGCAGTGGTTAGCGTGATCGCCTCGGAAGCGAGAGGATCCGGGTTCGATTCCCAGCCGGGCCGAGGCAAAACCTTAGATACGTTTCCTTACTCCATACGCCTCTGTTTACTAGGAGTAAGTAGGAACTCGGTTGTTAGTCGATTGGCAGATCGCTTTCTGGGGTAATAATCCCTTCAAAAATAAATTTTAAAAAGTGCCCAATTGGCTGCTGGGGTTTTACCCGCAAAATACAGTCAATTCACTTTACAGTATATTCTGTGAAGCGCTTTGAGATGTCTCAATGACGTGATAAGGCGCCGTATCATATTATTCTGTACGATCTTAGGCTGAAACTAGGCAGAGTTTTAGGGCTCCGAGGCACAGACTATGAGGCGTCTGCCTCCCACCCCGTCTCCTCGGAGTTCACTGTCTGGCGTGTTACTGAGAGTGGCTGTGATGACGTTTAAATGATTGTAATAAAGTGAGTTTTCCGACTATGTGACCTGTCAGTGGTGATGTGTAGGAACCCGCTCGCCCCCAGCAACGGCAGTGTGGAGGGCCGCGACCTGCGGTTCGGCTCCGTGGTTACCTATCGCTGTGCCCGTGGGCACCGGCTGGCGGGCACGAGGACCAGCAGGTGCCAGCTCGACGGCACGTGGGGCCCCAGGCCACCTCGCTGCCGTAAGTCTACAACAACCATCAGCAGACTTCTCCTCTCAGCGTGTTCCTGCGCCTGCACCCCCCACCACCACCCCCCACCCGTCCACCCCCACCCTCGGCTCACAATGTCCGCTGGCTCAGGCCCCAGCGCTTACGCTTTTGAGTCAAAAAAGGTTGTGTGGATTGAGCCCCCGGCATTGGGGACTCTGAGCTCACAGCCCAGGCTGACATGTGGTGTGTGAGCACCACCAAAACAACAAGCGATGGAGTTGGTTGTCAGGATCCCAATATTCACAACATGTGGAGCCCTGTCGCTCAGTGGTTAGAGCAGTCGTCTCGCAAGCGGGTTCGAATCCGGCGCAGGGCGGAACCTTAGGCGAGTTTCCTTACTCCACGCGCCTCTGTTCACCTAGCGGTAAGTAGGAGCCTGTTTGTTAGTCGATTGGCGAATCGCTTTCCGGGGATAATAATGCCTCCCCCCTCACCCCCACCCCAAACATAATGGTCACGCAATCCACGATTATTTTGTGGGACACTGCTGTGCGCAATTGGCTGCTGCATTTTGCCCTTTGAGATGTCTGAACGATGTGATAAGACGCCATACCAAATGCAAACAATGTTAATATTATTATTATTGTATATTATATATTATATATCAGGGTCTCAATATTCCAGCCCCCAGCACTGAGCCCTTGGTGAGCCGGTACTCCAGCCCCCGACTCAACACAGAGGCTGTCAGTGTCTAACCCGAGCCCCTGTGTGACCTTCAGTTCCAGAGAGCCAGAGCTGTGCCGACCCTGGCGTGCCACTAAACGGGCAGAATCAGGTCCTGGCCACCACCGGGCGGGCTCCCTGGGGCTCCTCCACCCCCGGCACCGTGCTGCAGTTCACCTGCCAACACCCGTATGTACTGAGCGGCAGCGCCCAGCGGACATGCAGGCAGAACGGCACCTGGACCGGCTCGCAGCCCACCTGCACTGAAGGTATCTATGTGGAGTTGAGGTACAGATCGGCCATGATGTAATAGAATGGCGGAACAGACTTGAGGGGCTGCATGCCCAACTCCTGTTCCTATGCGAAGTGTCCACATTAACCTCCCGCCAGAGCTTGTGGCTTTGGAATTTCAAAATCCCTCTGGATCTCCATCCGGGATCCCCTCGGCCTCGCTCCCTCCCTTGCCCCCTTCAAAAACTTTCCTATTCCATCACGCCTTCGGTCACTCTCCCCGCCCTCCCCTTTCTGTCCCTCCAACCATCCTGATCCCGACCCCCAGCTCGGGTCCAAATCTTTGACTGTGCAGGGCCTTGGGACGTCCTCTCGACGTAAAAGACGCCATGTAAATATAATTTGTTGTTGTTGTTGTCGGGGCAGTCAGAGCTGGCGGTAAATTGCTGATGATATGAGAGGTGACACTGGGGTAATGTTGGTGTTTTATGGAGTCCGCACAGAATCTGGTCAGCCTTCAACAACAACAACAACAACTTGGATGTATATAGCGCCCTCCACGCCCGACGGCGTCTCAGAGCGCTTCACAGTAATGGATCTGGGGGCCGAACCAGGGGGAGGGGGAGGATGGCCTTCAGCTAGCTTCCTCCCCCCACACTCCCTGCCCTCCACCCCTCTTGATTCCAACCCCCAACTCGGGTGCAAACCCTTCACTGGAGTCCTGTAGCTTAGCAGTTAGAGCACTTGCCTCGTAAGCGAGAGCTGTGCGCAATTGACTGCCGCGTTTCGTCCGCAAAATACATAGTCACTACACTTCACAGTATATTATGTGAAGCACTTTGAGACATCGCAAAGACATAAGGCGCTGCATCAAACTCATGGATTATTATTATAATTACGGTGTAGCGCCTGGGATGTCTTTCCGACATGAAAGTCACCGTGTAAATGTAGTTTGTTGTTGTTGACTGTACACACCGAGCCTCTGTTCTGTGATTGCAGAGAGCCAGAGCTGCGCTGTGCCCAGGGCACCACTCAACGGGCATCAAACTGTTCTCGCCGACAGTGGGCACCTCCACCAGGCCGCCGTGCCCGCGGGCACAGTGGTCCAGTTCACCTGCAAATACTCCTTTGTGTTGAGCGGCAGCGCCAGCGGACCTGCCAGGGCGGGGCGTGGACGGGCACCCAGCCCGCCTGCATCAAAGGTAACGTAATGCCAGCCCTCACCCTCCTCACCGACTGGCCCCAGCTCACCCTACTTACCAGTGTTTAACACACCCGCTCTCGCTCACCGCTGTTTCCCCTTTGTTTCAGCTTGTAAACAACCCAAGGTCCCCAACCTGGTCAGGCAAAGAGTCCTCTCAAAGCAACTCCAGACTCGGTGAGATTGTGTGACATCTTGTTTATCTGTGACCCTGGACCCAGACACACACACAGACATGCAGACACACATGTATACACACATAGTCACACGCACAGACACCACACACCCATGCACACACGCAGACACACACACACACAGACATGCAGGTAGACAGAGACACATATTATCAATATCAGGCAGGAACTTTAGTGTGAGCTAATGGTGTGTACCTGGAGTGTGAACTTTGGGTGTGTGTGTAACTAGACTGTGAGTTATGTGTATGCAAGTGGAGTGTGAGCTCTGGGTGTGCAACTGAAGTGTGAGCTCTGGGTATGTAACTGGAGTGTGAGCTCTGGGTATGTAACTGGAGTGTGAGCTATGGATGTGTTTTTAACTGGAGTGTGAGCTCTGGGTGTGTAACTGGAGTGTGAGCTCTGGATGTGTAACTGGAGTGTGAGCTCTATGGGTGTAACTGGAGTGTGAGCTCTGGGTGTGTAACTGGAGTGTTAGTTCTATGAGTGTAACTGGAGTGTGAGCTCTGGGTGTGTAACTGGAGTGTGAGCTCTATGAGTGTAACTGGAGTGTGAGCTCTGGGTGTGTAACTGGAGTGCGAGTTCTATGGGTGTAACTGGAGTGTGAGCTCTGGGTGTGTAACTGGAATATAAACTCCGGGTGTTGTTGTCGGGCAGGAGGACTCCGGTACACAAGCTATACTCCATTCTCCAGGACAAAGTCAAGTCTCCGATCTCTCCCACCAAACTGCCGCTGCGGAGTTCTGTGGTGCTCCCAAAGGGATTCTATCAGCCTCACACGCAGCTGGAGTACGAGTGCACCTCTGCCCTGCACCGGCGTCTCGGCAGCAGGAAGCGAACGTGTCTGAAAACAGGCAAATGGAGTGGCCGCACACCAACCTGTGTTCCCAGTGAGTACCTACATTGGCTCCTGTCTAACTCACTCTCCCCTCTTCACTGTCCGGGCCGGTACCACAACACAGCGAGTGCTGATAACTCCACCCCACCTTAACTTGTCACTTAACTTGACTGCGTATTTTGTGGGCGAAACACGGCAGCCATGGTTTTAAGGAACCATGACTGGCAACCACGAGGCAATGACTGGCCTAACTCGCCCACACTCCTGCATTTGATATAACGCCTTATCATGTCTTCGAGACGTTTCAAAGCACTTCACAGAATATACTGTCAAGTGAATTGACTGTGTATTCTGTGGGCGAAAGGCGGCAACTAATTGCTGACAGCAGCGTCCCACAAACAGTCATAGATTTTTTTTTTTTGAAGGGATCATTGCCCCCGGAAAAGCGATCCGTCGATCGACTAACAGCTGGTTCCTACTTACTGCTAGGTAAACAGAGGCGCGTGGAGTGAGGAAACTTGTCAGTGTTTTGCCCTGCCCAGGAATCAGACCCAGGTCCTCTTGCTTGCGAGGCAAGGGTGCTAACCACTAACCTACATGCAGGATAGCGTCTCAGAGCGCTTAACAGTAGCGGAGCCTGACTCCGAGCTGGGGGCAGGGGGGAGGTGGCCGTAAGCACAGTCAAAGAGGAAAGTCTTCAGGCAGGACTTGAGAGAGGGGACAAGACATAGGGATTGAGGGAGAGTGTTCCAGAATTTTGGGGGCGTAGTGGCTGAAAGCATGACCTCCGATGGTGGGGGCAGAGGATGCAAGGGATAAGCAGGAGGCCGGTGGCAGTCGAGCAGAGGATTGGATTGGATTTACTTTGGATTGTAGTGTGTATTTGTAGGTGAGGTGGCAGCCATACTGGCTTCTGGCAGTGAATGTTGTCTTGTGATCTGGCGAAGCTGACGCCAACTGTGTAAATAGTCATGATTTCTTTCTCTTTGTATAATAATAATAATAATAATCCTTGTATTTGATATAGCGCTTTTCACATCGGGAGGACATCCCAAAGCGCTTCACAGAACACACACTGTAAAGTGAATTGACTGTATATTTGTGGGCGAACGCGGCAGCCAATTGCGCACAGCAATGCCCCACAAACAGTCGTAGATTGAAAATGACCCATTTATTATTGTTTTTTTTTGGTTTTGGAGGGATTATTATTAGGCTCTGTGTGGAGTAAGGAAACTTGCCCAAGGTTTCGCCCTCTGCCTGGAATTGAACTCAGGTCTCTCACTTGCAAAGCGAGTGCTCTAACCATTGAGCTACAGGACTCCAACTGTATCTCAGTAAATACACAGTAATGTTACACAACCACATGCTGCCTCCCTCCTACTCAACAACAATTTGCATTTACACAGCGCCCCTCATGCAGGATAGTCTCAGGTTAAAAATTATGAAAGGATCACGATAAAGTGGACACTGGTCAACTGTTCCACTTGCTGATGAGGCTACACTGATAGGTTATAAATACTGTAAAATCTGGGAAATTACGCTCTGTTAGGGTGTTGTTCAGGAATCCGCTTCACACAGCTGACGAAAATGTGGAACTCACTGTCGGAAACTGCGGCTGACTAATACCAATGTGTTTAAGAGTAAACTTGAAGCAGACACCAGAGAGGAGAACAGGAGGAGCATAAGTGAATTTGATAATAATACTAACAATAAACATTGCATTTGATATTGCGCCTTATCACGTTGTTGGGACATCTCAAACCACTTCACAAGATATTCAATAAGGTGTAGTGACTGTGTATTTTGTGGGCGAAACACGGCAGCCATGGTTGTGAGGAACCATGACTGGCAACCACATAGCAGTGTCCTACAAACAGTCCTGAAGTGAGCGACCAAATTTTATTAGGGGGATTGTTGGTCAGGACACTGGAAAGAGGAACTCCCTTCTCTTTTCGAATAGCGCCATGGGATCGTTAACATCACCTGAACAGGCACATTGGGACCTCGATTTAACGTCTCATCTGAAGGACACACCTGTTTTCGTGTTGTGGCATTGTATGTAGCTCTGAGTGTGTTGTGAGAGGAGTGATAATACAATGAGATCGAATTCAAGACCCTCATCCTCACCTACAAGGCCATTCATGGCCTCGCTCCCTCCAACCTCTCTACTTACTATCCCCCTACTTACACGCCCGTGCTCTCCGTTCCTCTGGCTCCGGTCTGCTCCACATCCCCCGCCCCAACCGCCCTACCATCGGTGGCTGGGACTTCAGCCTCTCAGCCCCGAGGCTCTGGAACTCCATCCCCCAGTGTCTTTGCCGCTTCCTCCCTTTTCTCCTTCAAGGCCGGTCTCAAGACCTTTCTCTTCAACCATGCCTTCACCTCCCCTCTCAACTCTCTATCCCCTCCTCGCTCACTCCCTTCCCTCCCCTCACCCTGACCATTTCCCCCTTGCTCGTATCCCAACCCAACTGTCCAGCGCCTTGGGACATCCTCCCGACGTGAAAGGCGCTCTATAAATGCAATCTTGTTGTTGTTGTTGTAGTGGGGGTTGATTCCTGGGCAGGGAGAAACCTTAGGCAAGTTTCCTTACTTCACACGCCTCTCTTTACCTAGCAGTAAGTAGGAACCCAGTTGTTTGTCGGTTGATGGATCGTTTTCCGGAGGTAATAATTCCTCCAAATATTTTGGGGGGTAATTTATAATAAATAATTGAAAATAAATAAATTTTAATAATTTGGTTACTCAATCCATGAGTGTTTGTGGGACACTGCAGTGCACAATCGGCTGCGGTGTTTCGCTCACAAAATAGACAGTCACTACACTTTACAGTATAGTCTGTGAAGCAGTTCGAGATATCTCTATAATGTGATAAGGTGCTGTACCAAAGGCAAGGATTATTATTATTATTATTATTATTATTATTATTATTATTATTATTATTATTATTATTTCCTCACAGTCTGTGGAAAGCTGGAGAACTTCAGCCCTCAGAAGCTGGGGGCGATGGAGTGGCCCTGGCAGGCGGCCATATACCAGAGGACTTCCTGGGGGTCTGACATGCCACTCAGACCCCCGGGCTGGATGCTGGCGTGCAGTGGGGCCATGCTGAACCAGCGCAGTGTGGCAGTGGCTGCCCATTGCGTCACCGAGCTGAGCAAGACCACCCTGGTCAGGGCCGCCGACGTCACCGTGGTTCTCGGGAAGCGACCGCAGCTTGGAGACCACCCAGAGGAGGAGAGCAGTCAGCAGAGCATGGGGGTGAGTGAGTGAGTGACTGACTATCAGCACAGCTCCGCGACTCCCGTCACATTGATGCCCCTGACACTGACTCTCACACTGACCCCCCCTCACACTGACCCCCCTTCACACTGAACCCCCCTCACACTGACCCCCCCCTCACACTGACCCCCCCCTCACACTGACACCCCCCTCACACTGACCCCCTCCTCACACTGCCCCCCTCACACTGATCCCCCTCTCTCACACTGAACCCCCCCACACTGACCCCCTCTCACACTGACCCCCCCTCACACTGACCCCTCCTCACACTGCCCCCCCTCACACTGACCCCCCCCTCACACTGATCCGCCCCTCACACTGACCTCCCCTCACACTGACCTCCCCTCACACTGATCCCCTCCTCACACTGCCCCCCCTCACACTGATCCCCCCTCTCTCACACTGAACCCCCCACACTGACCCCCTCTCACACTGACCCCCCCTCACACTGACCCCCTCCTCACACTGCCCCCCTTCACACTGATCCCCCCCTCTCTCACACTGAATCCCCCCCACACTGACCCCTCTCTCACACTGACTCTCACACTGACCCCCTCACGCTAAACCACCCCTCACACTGAGCCCCCCTCACACTGACCCCCCCTCACACTGACCACCCCTCACACTGACCCCCCCTCACACTGCCCCCCTCACAATGCCCCCCTCCACACTGACTCTCACACTGATCCCCCTCATATTGACCTCTCTCACACTGACCCCCTCTCACTGAACTCCCCCCTCACACTGAACTCCCGCCTCACACTGACCCCCCGCACTCTGATTCTCCCCACTTACAATGCCCCCCCATCACACTGACCTCCCCTCACACCGACCCCCCTCAAACTGACATCCGCTCACACCCCTCTCTCTCCAGGTCTCGGCTATCCTGGTCCACCCGTCCTATGATCCTGTGCTGCTGGATTCCGACATCGCCATCATCAAGCTGAGTGACAAAGGCCGGATCACCGACCACGTGCAGCCGGTCTGCCTGCCAAGCGGTGCCCAGGTCCTGGCCACCTCACCGGGCGTGGTGATGGGCTGGCACACGCAGGGCATCGTCCCTGCCGCCGGTGCCCAGCCGGGGAGTGGGAACCACAGTATGGGGGTGGGGGCCCTGCAGGTGGTGGACTCGGCCCAGTGCGAGCGGAGCTTTGAGGAGGAGGGGGTGTTCGTCAGCATCACCGAGAACATGTTCTGCGGCAGGCGGCAGCCGGGGGGATTCTGGGCTATCTGCCCCCCAGAGAGCGGGGGTCTGGCCGTATTCCCGGCCCCTGGCAGCACCAGCTCCGCACTGACCTGGTACCTTGCCGGTCTGGTCAGCTGGGGGCTTGGCAAGGACTGCCGTGGAGAGCTGCTCACCGTCTATACCAACGTGCTTCCCTTCAGAGCCTGGCTGGAGAAGAATATGAAGTGAGACTCTCTGAATGACAAGCTCAGTGTCAAGTCCAGGCTGTTGTCGGGAACATAGGAACAGGAGTAGGTCATTCAGCCCCTCCAGCCTGTTCTGCCATTCTATCAGATTTCGGCTGATCTGTACCTCATGTCCAATTACCCGCCTTTGCCCCGTATCCCCTGATACCCTGACCTCATAAATATCTCTCCACCTCAGTTTTGAGAATGTGAATGGATCCAGTATCCACAGCCTTTTGGGGGAGGGAGAGAGTTCCAGATTTCCACCACCCTTTGGGTGAATAACTGTCCACTGATTTCACTCCTCTGTCTGTCTGCACAGGGTGTTCACAAAGTCCTGTTACCCACCCCACCCACCCTCCCTCAACACACACACACTTTTTTTCTCTCTCTTCAGTGCACTGACCAACAACTGAAACACGTGGACACTGTTTAAATAATTTAAATCACAGAATCTTTAACTTTCCTCCTCAACAGCCACAGACGGGACTTTGGTTTGTTGTATGATGTTTCATCTGAAGGACTGCGACTCTGACAACTCAGCAGTCGCACCCACTCCTCGCCCACCCCCACCCCATACTCAACAAACATCAATTATGCAGCACCGCTTAAGTAGGAAAATATCTCTGAGCGCTTCACAGAGATAGAGTGGGAGTGCGAGCAGGGAGGGGATTGAAGATGCAGCGAAAGCGGGAGGTCTTCAGAAGAGATTTGAAAACAGGTTGAAGTGGAGAAGGTTCCAGAAAGTTCAGGGCAACGTGGCTGAAAGTGGTTCAAAGTATAGTAGTGGAGTTTGTGTTTAGCAGAGCAGAACATTGCATTGGAATTGGCACCCTTGACTGTGAGATCAAAGTCCTGATGTGTCCCACTGACCGAGACAGGAGTGTGATGACCTGAGCTGGGCTGAACGGCCCTGTAATTCAGCACCACCCACCGAAGGTTATTATTCATAATAACAATAAGACGTGGAGTCCTGTAGGGTAGTGGTTACGGCACTCGCTTCGCAAGAGAGAGGACCTGGGTTTGATTCCCAGGCAGGGCGAAACCTTCAGCAAGTTTCCTTACTCCACGCACCTCTGTTTACCCAGCCAGCAGTAAGTAGGAACCCAGTTCAGTTAGTCAATTGGCGGATCGCTTTCCGGGGGTAATAATCCCTTCCCCCAAAAAATGTTTGAAATTAGATGGTCACTCAATCCTCGGCTGTTTGTGGGATTCTGCTGTGCCCAATTGGCTGCCTCGTTTCGCCCACAAAAATACCCAGTCAATCCACTTTACAGTATATTCTGTAAAGCGCTTTGAGACGACTCAACAATGTGATAAGGCGCTATATCAAATGCAAGGCTTACTATTATTATTGATAATAACGATAATGCTTATGTTCGATATAGCACCTTTCACGTTGGGAAGATGTCTTGCAGGGAAGCGCTGTGAGGTTGAGTGACTTGACTGTGTCTTTGGCCGCAGCCAATATGTGCATTGCAACATCCTGCTGGAGTCAGAGCCTAACATTATGGCTGGAAAATCCCAGTTGGAACACATGTGCCTTCAATTAAGAGCATAGCTGGATTGTGTGCTCACTCCAGTGAAACCTTATCACTTTTCAATGAGTTACCATACATTGCCATTCCTCCCATTGGAGTCTGTTACTCATTTTAACCTTTTTTCTATTGAATGCATTCGAACTCGCTTTAATTCAGTGACTAATTATTCACTCGCTGTTTGCAAATGTACAGTATTTACACCATGATTAACCCTTACCTTGCCAGATAAACAATTCTATGCAGTTGTAACAACAACAAGTTGCATTTATACAGCGCCCTTCATGCAGGGCAGCGTCTTGGAGTGCTTTGGAACTGATTCTTACCCTGTGGGATAAACATGAACACTTTACATTTATATCATGATTAACCTTTATTCTACCGAATAAACACAAACTGTACAGTTACACAGTCTAAGTAATCCTTAACTCTGGGTTGTTTCACCATCAATGCAAAACCGCGATACAGGGGATGACATATCAAATACTGAGATGCTGGAAATCTAAATTAAAAGCAGAAGTTGCTTTGAATGCCCAGCGGATCAGGCAGCATCCATGGAGAGAGGAAACTGAGTCAACGTTTCAGGTTGATTACTTTCCATCAGAACTAGGAGATGTTGGAAGGGAGCAGTTTACAAAGACAGAGGAAAGAAAGTCAAAGAAAAAAATTAGGTGGGAAGACCGGAGCTGGTGAGATCAGAGGTGTTGATGATGACCTCTGATCTCCCCTCCTCCACTGACTCCCCATCTCTTTTCCTTTTCTTTCTCTCTTCTCTCCCAAAGTCCCTGATACTTTTACTGAGAAAGTAGTAATGTGTGTTGAGGTGGATGTAGTAAATTCCTATGATTTCCAGCAGGGGGAAATAAACTCCTATAGTTTCCAAAAATAAAACCAGAAGTCGCTGGGAACACTCAGCAGGTCAGACAGCATCTATGAAGAAAGGAAAGTGAGTCAACAGAGTTCTGACAAGGGGTCGTGGACCCGAAACGTTCATTCATTTTCCTTTCTCCATAGATGCTGCCTGACCTGCTGAGGTTTCGCAGCGACTTCTGCTTTTCTGTTTTCAGATTTCCAGCATCTGCAGCATTTTGCGCATTTCCAATAATTTCCATGCTCCTTCCTGGTACATTTTATGTAAGAGGTCTCGCAGTTCTCACATCACCCTACAACACCACACCCCCCCCCCTCCCCCACCTCTGTATCTGTATAAGTTCCCACTCTGAGTGAAACGCTACTAACGAGAATATACACATGTCATGTATATTCTCCGCTCTCCCAGACAGCTGACTTCAGCAATAGTTTGCTCATGGATCCTCCCTCCCTCCTTGATCTTTACAGAGACTCGAGAAGCACTGTATAGAAAACTTATCGGTGTTTTATTGATCCTTAACCCTATGCCTAACTTACACTGCCCGGAACATGATAACTGTCACAACATTAAGGAATAGAAAATGCGCTGACACTGAACTGTGACATTAGCAGCTTTACCCAAAGTTAGTTAACAAAGAAAAGACCATCTTGACCTGGAGGTGAGGCTCTCAGGTCAGGCCCGTACCCACTTGATGACACACAAGGCGAAAAGCAACCCTGAGTTCAGTAAGCTCCCTCCTTTTATGTTGTCCGAACTCTTCTCCTTTCCAATGTATCGCATTGATACTTTCCCCCTCCATTTCCAATCTCCTCCCCTTTCAATGTATCAGTGGTTCTCTCTCCAGGACCCACGTGAGCCTTTCCCACCTTTTTTTTTCAATGACCCACCCATGTCACAGACTTCGTGTGGCCAAGACTGTCCTTAGTTCTCTGAACAATAGAATACAAAAGTCAGGAAGTTATGATGAATCTTTATATAAAACACTGGTTAGGCCTCAGCCAGAGACTGTGTCCAGTTCTGGGCCCCACACTTTAGGAAGGATGTCAAGGCATTGGAGAGAGTGCAGAGGAGATTTCCCAGGATGGTACCAGGAATGAGGGACTTCAGTTATCAGTAGAGGTAGAGAAGCTCAGATTATTCTCCTTGGAGCAGAGAAAGTTAAGAGGAAACTTAATAGAAGTTTTCAAAATTATGAGGGGATTCAATAGGGTGAACAAGGAGAAACTATTTCCACTGGCGGGTGGGTCGGTAACCCAAGGACACCGAATTAAAATAGTTGTTAAAAGAAACAGAGGGGATGTGAGGAGAAATATTTTCACACTGTGAGTTGTTGGGATCTGGAATGCACTGCCTGAAAGGGTGGTGGCAGCCGATTCGATAAGAACTTTTAAGAGAGAAATAGATAATTATTTGGGGAGGACAAGTTTGCAGGGCTATGGGGAGAGAGCAGGGGAGTAGAATTAAATTGGATAACTCTTTTCAAAGAGCTGGCACTCCTTCTGTGCTGTATAATTCTATGATTCTAACTATATTTTAGTCCCTAGACCACAAATGTGCTTAAGGCAAAAGTGTCCCACTAAGCACAAAATCTCAACACAGACAGAATATCTACATTAACAAACCCAACAAAAGAGGTAGAGTGTTAATCTAAATAGGTAACCTTGACATCTCCCATGGATCAGTGCTGAGTCTCAAGTATCATCTGATATATCAATATCCTGGATACAGTTATAGAGAGACTTGTGATTGAGGTTTTTCAAGATAATGAAAGGAATTGGTAGGTTAGATAGTGGACGACTCTTTCTTCTGGTAGAGGCATCATTACAAGGTGCCCAGCCCTGAGATCACAAATCAAAATTAGAGCTGAGGTCAGGAAGCAGAGGGTGGTCAAGCTGTGGAACAGTCTGCCCAGAGAGCTGTAAAGGCACAATGAGTAGCCATGGTTAAAAGAGAGACAGAGATTTGGAGATTGGAGGTATGACGGGAGTTGTAAGAAGGTGGGGCATTGGCATTAAAAGATACAGCAAGTAAGAATACACTGGTGAACCAGGTGCAATGGGCTGAATTGCCTCCTGTTCCTCATGTTCCCCGCACTTGTTAGGAAAATGTGCATCGCTGTAGCCCTCAGCTCTGCTCCCTGCAATCTCTCACTGAGGACTGAGGCTAAACTTCCTTTCAGAGATGTGCACCTCACAAGCCAGCCTTTGTCAATCAAGGAGCAAAGTTTGAACTGTGGCTTTCACAAGGCTGCGAGGTGCACGTGGTCAGTAATAACAACAATAATAATCCTTGCATTTGATATAGCACCTTATCCCATCTTCGAGACGTCTCAAAGCCCTTCAGAGAATTTACTGTGAAGTGAATTGACTCTATATTTTGTAGGTGAAACGCGGCAGCCAATTGCACACATCAGCATCCCACAAAGAGTCGCGATTGAATGACCAAATTATATGTTTATTTTGAAGGGATTATTACCCTCAGAAAAGTGATCCGCTGATTGACTAATAATCAGGTTTCTTCTAACTGTGAGGTAAACAGAAGAGTATGGAGTAAAGAAACTTGCCTAATTTAATACCCTGCCTGCAGTCAAACCCAGGTCCTCTCACTTGTGAGGCAAGAGCTCTAACCCCAAAGCTACAGGAGCAATGGAGAC